TGAAACGAAACTATGAACACTTTAATCACCTCCCATATAGTAACCCACTGTAGTCTGCACGCCTTGAATGGAAGCGGAATAGAAAAACTACACAAACTATCTCCCTCTCGTCGTGGCTAATAGACCTCGACATTGGCATTTAGCTCCTGAACAGTGTCACTATAGCCAAGAATAAACTGCCCCCAACGCTCCGTTGCACATTTCCTCACCTCACCTAAAACTGCAAAACAAATGTTTCAGTGATTTGCTAGAAGTTGTTTCGATTTGCAGCACAGAACAAGGACAGAAGAAGGAGCCCTCTGGTAAACAACATGTCGAGGGTGCCTTGCTCAAGACAACCTTCCTCTCCATGGCTAATGTCGTTGCTTACCCATGCACCCGGCCAACAATATACTATCCCACTTCCACCTCAAAGTTCATGATCATAAATCATCTCTACAACCTTAGAAATGAAGTATACACGTTCTATTCGAATTATGCAGACCACCAGTTCAAAATAACTGCATGTGTGATAATTTGATCACTGTAGACCAACTAAACAACTGAGAAATGTGGACAACAGGCAGCAGTGACACGGCTGCACATTTTCTCAAGCTTTGGAGTTGGTGGTTCCAAAAATACAACATGTACATGCAATGCACATCAATGTGTGTTAAATAAATTTTTCCAGCCTATTTTTTGGCCGTGAAGGGTTTTCTCATCATTTACAGATTTGAATGATTCCTTTCACCATATGCCTTTGCTTGTTATTACAATACAAATAATTCCCTTAACCCAGGAGAGCCTCAGCCTCAAGACTCGTTGTCAGGAGGGTCCCGCATCAAAATGTCTTGCCAGTTCCATTAATGTTTGAATTCAGAAGCGGACAACACTCAAATAACCACGAACACTGATCCAAGGATACATTTTTATGTTCTGCCATCTCCTTGCCACCTCACAACAGCTCAATCAGAAAGTAAAGAATCCTAAAATATATCAAACACATACTTGTGTTTGTTGATAATAAAAAAATACTGATACTATCACTTGCCCAACAACATAAATACAAAAAATAAAACACAATTTGGTGGAATACAGTGCAGTACATTTCATGAAGCCTTGTAGTCTTCGTTAATATTTAAGTACTGTATAGTGACCCACAAGGGAAAGCAAAAGATTCCCCTGGAACACACCTACACGTGCACATATAAAACCGCTGCATGAACGTGCTTGCCATGCACATCTTGGACAATGCACCACACATAGTTCATGCAGCCTACTTCCAACTCCATAGCCTTGTATTATGCCTTTGGAATAAACAATCAATGCGGTTTTTAATTAAATGAAGTATATTTCACACTCCCACACTGGCCTTCTGAAAGAAAATTATGCTTAAAATTACAGAGCATGCTCAGTATTTCATCTTAAGAATGTTGATAATACCATGCATTTAAAGTGATGCTGATTATATTAAAAGCTACTTATTATCTATCTGCTCTGTATTGAAAACAAAGTCAAAATGCTAATTTCAGCATTGAACAGAAACACTAACGACACATTTGGAGAAAGTGCATTTGGTCATGACCAAAATCACATACGGCTGCCTGGATTAGATCCTATAATCTCGGTCGTGCAGGCTCAGTGCGCTGATGTCTGGGCCACCTGGCCCCCTCATTACCAACTTAGTCTTTATCAAAAGATTATTATTGAAATCACCCCTCCAGAAAGGCACGGTAAGATGGCAACAACTTTACAGAACATAATGTGCTAAATGTCTTATTTTTTCTCCAAAAGTATTTTATTAACGATTCAGGCAAACACAGAGACTATGAAAGGGGGCTGACATCAGCAACAAACACATTACGGATTACAGTGCAATGGAAACCTGTCTAAACCGCACGTTTCAATAAACTGTTTCAATAAACTCTACAACCCCCTGGTGTCTTCCTAAGCTCTGATACCCCTGTAGGAGAAGAAAATAGGGGGGGGGGGGTGGCAAAAGGGTGGGGGTGCCTAAATGCCCTCATGAATGCTCTGACGAATCAATACCCACTGGAGAAGAGGTAGTGAAGGGAGTTCCATGTTTGGTGGAAAGCTTCCTCCCTGTCCCTTAGTTTTGCACTTCAATGCTCTAAAGCAGAAATTGTTGATAATGTATTGGCCCATTCCTGCAGTGTTGGGGGAGCGTACTATTTCCAGTTGACTATAATAGTGCATTTTGCCATAACAATAAAAAAATTTGGGATAATGTATTTGCTTCCCTGGAAAGGCCTTGAGGTTTCAACCCCAACAGGGACGTCTCTGGTGAAGGTGAGATGCTTGTTTTGTGTAAATGTGTTATTTTTGAAGCGATATTCTAGTGGCAATGGCTGACTGAAAAGCCCCCATGGAAGAAGCGTTGTCCAACTTCGCAGCTCATATGCTGCTTCTGTGCACGAGCCAAACTTCGAAATTGACCTCTGAACATCGAGGAAATGGAGTATTGGACAAGAAAGCACTCAATGTTATGTGTGGCCACTTGCGGCAGAATATGCAAAATATTAAAGAAAAATGAGAGAAGAAAAATCACAAATCAAGACTCTTGATCAGCTTTTTCAGAAGGCTCCTGCCAAGTAGGCGATGATATTGCCACTGTGTGAAATCCTAAATGAGCAATTTACAGGTAATATTTCAGAATTTGGATGTTTGGGCAATACCATTTACATTGCTGGTTTTTTTTTAGCCTGTGGAGAAAAACCATGCAGAACAAAGGGAGATCATATAAACTCCACACATAAAGGTGTCCGAGTCAGAAATAAACCCTGGTCCTTTTTGCTGTGAGGCACAAGTATTAACACTGCACCACCCTGCTGCCCACGAGTTCGCAATGTTCAGTGTTTTGATATGCAATTCACATTATTATGTCAGTGGATGCTGTAAATCGGCCAGGTGGAAATAATCTATGAACCAATACCATTTTAACCACAGCAAGAATCAAACTTAGCTCTTTGTACAAAACGGCAATCCACTATGAGCCAACACTGTCCAGATAAGTTCCCTCAACTTATGAGCACGGTTCCCACTGATTCCATCCGATAGGAGCCCCCAGAACATACTTCACGTAAGCAAACCACGTGCGTTCTGATGTCGTGACCTATTGTCTATTAATAAATGCACTCCAATTTCACCACTGGTTCAAGGCAGCCAACCAAGAGAAATGAGCACTACCGAACGTATGTTTGAGCAGGCAGGCATGAATGTAGACTTGAGTACAAACAAGTGAGCCTTCAGTTACACGGTGTGCACAGTGACCGAGATGAATATGATGGTTTATGTGCGTATATGTTGGGGGGGTTTTCAACAAAAGTGGCGTCCTAAAACAAACTTTATAAACCACGTATAGTTTTTATGGGCAACCCGAGCTATCCTCATAGTAGTACTTTAAAATGCACTTTGGGTAATATTTATTGTACAATATTACCTCCTCAGAGGTGGCCATGCAGCAAACTAAAAAAAATACTTTTCAGTCACTGAATCCACCTACTCTCAACGAAAGTCGCATTCGTGCGTTACCAAATTTTTTCCAGGGCTCTCCAGCATTATATGTAACATTAGGGTATGTTCTGTATAAATACACCTTTGATTTGAGTGAATAGTGTAAATAATTATTAAACACAAATACCACACTATACTGAAGTAGGGCGAGATGGCATCCTAATTAAAAAATGGGGAGCCTGTCAATCTCCAGAGCATGCGCTCCTCGATCAGATTCAATAGAAAAAACGTAATTTCCTTCTCTGAGGCACTGTACCCCGGCTCTAATTCAAAGAGGCATTGATGATTATCGATTATCTGAGCTCACGACAATTGCATAGAATGATGTAATCATCAAAACATTTGAATTTGTATGTGACATGTAACAGGATTATGTGATCCTGCAGTCACTAGAAGCTGCTAAATTAACACAGTGGTTAATAAAATAGACAGGTCTTGAACCAAATTGTAACCCTGCATTGTGATAATTGGTTGACTCACAAGGCGTGAAATATTAAACCCATACTAAACAGCCTTGCTCGACACGGGAAGGACTGCGGTTTACGTCTCTGGTTCAGATTACATTTTTTTTAAAGGTTAAAACAGCATCAAATTTGTAATGCTTATTTTGCTAATGTGTAAAAAAGAAATGTCCCACCAATTGCCAATTCACTGCTGGATAATGGTTCAGATGTTAAAATAATAAGCCACTTTGTTGAGCTATCATTAGTGGCCAGTTCGCTTTTGCAAAATAAATTAATACCTCAGTGGGCTTTGTGTGGCAGCAAAAGGATGTTTTTTTGTTTTATTTGTATGTGTTGGGCCAATTTGTTTACCTTTCTTGCACTATATTCTTGGCTCTTTCAGTAAAGTCACGTAGAAGGGAAACAATAACATAATAAAAATATAAAACATATTTATAAAAATATAAAACATATTGATATTTGTATTATTTTATTGTTTCCCTTCTACGTGACTTTACCGAAAGAACCAAAAAAATGTAAAACATTTATAAAAATATTTATATTTTATTATTTTATTGTTTCCCTTCTATTCTACGCGACTTTACCGAAAGAACCAAGAATATGAATCCCTGCATTCACGAAAGCTTTAAATCAAAACTTTATTGTACTGTCATGTTTTTGTTTTGTTTGTTGTTGTAACGTTCTTACCTGCCCCGACTGGACATCTGTGAAAAAAAGCTTCATAGCTCATCGGATTCCTCCAGTATAAATACATTTTCTAAAACTGACTCACCGCTGATATTGGCCATGGTAGGAAATCAAACTCTGGTAGCCAGGTTTACACCATTAGTGCGCAAACACCTGCACCACCATATCAAGTACATGACTGTTTGGGGAACTTACCTTGCAAATATTTTGTTTGCAAAAAATGTAATAACACTTTAATCGACCGTTTACGTTATATGACTGTAATATCCGTGCGTTATAATACATTACGATATTATTAGGGTTATAGAAATGACATTAATTTAAACATTTACCTACCTTCAGTCAGGCGCGCATGTCACAGCATCCGCAACTCAGCCGTGCACGCTTTCCATGTTTCTTCAAACTGTCGGGAGGTTGTGCTGCAATTTATAACAAGAAACTACTTCCAGGACCTATGAATAATAAGAATAATAATAAAAGACCTTGAGATTGCACTCATCTTTATAAACAAATTACATTTTTTTACGTAATTTTCTTTCATTATAAAAATCCAAACAACATAATTTTTGCCGGTAGATTATTTTCCAAAGTAAGTCATTAAAGGTAAGTTTTTTCGAAAAGAAAAGTAAATTGAGCTATGCCAAGCAAATTATAAATTGTAGGAAAATAAAATTCCTTAGCCTCTAATTTGGTTAATTTTGCTCATACAATTATAAACCATCAAAGACAATGTTACATCAAAACTTAATTCAATTACCGTGAAAAAATTATGCTCCTGCTAAAAAGAAATGTCCAATATTCTTAGAGAACATTAAATCAGATCTGAATTTTTTTGTCATTAAAATAGAAAAAAGAAATGTCATCTCTTTTGTCCAAGGGTACTGAAAAAGGCACTCTAGTTTAATAATGTACATAGCAGCAGAGCATTGCTAATTCATGATAATAAAAAAACTACAGGTTTTAGTTATAAGAGAGATATTAACATTAACTTATGTCAAAATTGGGCATCGGCTATGGCTAAATATAAATCAATTAATAACATTTTACTGGTACCAAATAGAAGATAACTTTACACCTTCGTAAACATATCACACGAGGATAGTGTCAACAATTTGGAAGTTCAGAAAACAAAATGTAGATATCAATCAATCTTTATTTTGTATCGCTTGTCATGAAAAGGTGACCTCAAGGCGCTTTACGGAATGACATAAAAATAAAACATTGTAAATATATGCATCACACAAAATAACGAGAAACGCGTATGAAAATGGTGTAAGATATCAAAGTTAAAATCAATCAAATATATTTTTCAACAGTGTGATCACTAAAACATAAATTTCGATTTAAAGCTTTCGTGACTGCAAGGATTCATCTTCTTTGGTTCTTTCGGTAAAGTCACGTAGAATGAGAATAAAATAATAAATTGATAAAATAAAATAACACAATAATATTCTCACGACGTTTCGGCCACAACACAAGCGCTGTCCTCCAGACAGTCTCGTCCCTTCACCTGATGAAGGCCACTAAAACATAAAGTGTTCAATCTCATCTTACTTTAACCAGGACGTGGAAGTTGTGATGGTTGGGACACGTACAGGAAGCCTGGGTCACCCAGAGAGGCATCGCAGTGGCTCCTCGAGGTCAGTGACCTTCGGGAAAACCAGCACCTCCGATTAGCACGGTTGGCTATGTACGGTGTGAAAGAAGTTCAACATGTACAAAGCATGACGGTGTGGCACCTGATCATCGGACCTTGGAGATCGCGTGTCGACTTTGCCGTTACGATGGGAATCTAGCAGGAGGAAGCAACATTGAGTTGCAATTGCAACTGATATTGGCCTTGATGATTTCTTGAACTCGAACGTGAATAATATTGCTTCTTTCAAAGTAAAGTGCAGCTTTAAAAAAAAAAACATTCTAAACTTTGCGTGAATGTATGTTTCCACTGAAGCTTGTGCTTAAGATACTGTGTGGTAGCCAAACGCACTGTTCACCACTGTATTAAACGTCATACTTCCCTGATTTAGTGAATTTTGGCAGAAGGGTCATCAGTGTTGAGTCTGCCAATACATCTGCTTCCTTGTGTGTATGGCAGATATTGCAAGGCTATTATACTGTCCTTCCATGCTGAATTAATTTGCCTGCACGCAATTTTCCAAACTCCCCAATGGCATTTTGCACATTCTGCACAACGTTGCGTTATTACACGGTGGTCCATTTATAGATACCCCCATCAAAATAATATGGAGAAAAAGAAACAACATCTACAGGTTTCCCACCAATCGCAATGCATTTGTTGAAACTTTGACCACTCTCCTGACACATTTGGTCCAGATAGAGCGAACACTGTAACGACTGTAACAATACTTAGTGAGCCATGACGAATCAAAATGGTACAGTATCTAGAAATGGATCACTCAATTCCACCCCCCCACCGTCCCCCACGTCCCCCACAATTAATAAATTGTCGCAATTCCAGAGCACGATTTCCTTCGATAACGCTTAATTCTCTGCCTTGTTTACCGTCTCATTTGTATTGTTTTTTTCTCTTTCAATTTCCAATCAACGTTGAAAGCATTGATGCATGAGCCCTCGTCCGCCTTTTAAGTACTGTACTTATTAACTCGGGCGCAACATTCATTTAACGTCATTCAACGCTTCCGAGGCGTGTAGGAAAGCGATGCAGAATACCACCGTCACGTAAAGGTTTATATTCGTACTTTCCCGTCACCTTTCTGCGTATGTCGAACGTAGCCTTATATACCTCAATTGCCGAATTAGCTTCAGCGCATCGCAACCGCAGTCTTCCACGATTGCCAGTGGTAACACTGCCAATGACAACTGAAGTCTTCAGCCTTTTTACACACACAACGTCCGTGATGATTGTACGCATTGTTGACTTGTGGCCGTGCACCACATTAGATCCACCGATGCAGCGATTGGGATAGCTCGTGCGCAAGCTATCCTACATCCAGCAGTAGATAACTAATTATTAACGCTTTCTTTAAAACCCAAGAAGGTCCGGTCGAAATTATCCGAAGTTTTTTTTTGGGTGATGCTGTGCGTAATCCCAATTGAGCAGTAGTATCTACGGGTGGAACCCAGCGACGAAAACGGAGGGGAACGCACGACGAACCTCAGGATGAGGTGGTAGGGAGAGAGAGAGAGAGATCATGTAAACCTCACGGAGAGAGAGATCATGTAAACCTCACGGAGAGAGAGAGAGATCATGTAAACCTCACGGAGAGAGAGATCATGTAAACCTCACAGAGAGAGATCATGTAAACCTCACGGAGAGAGAGATCATGTAAACCTCACAGAGAGAGATCATGTAAACCTCACGGAGAGAGAGAGATCATGTAAACCTCACGGAGAGAGAGATCATGTAAACCTCACGGAGAGAGAGATCATGTAAACCTCACGGAGAGAGATCATGTAAACCTCACGGAGAGAGAGAGATCATGTAAACCTCACGGAGAGAGAGAGATCATGTAAACCTCACGGAGAGAGAGATCATGTAAACCTCACGGAGAGAGATCATGTAAACCTCACGGAGAGAGAGATAGATCATGTAAACCTCACGGAGAGAGAGAGATCATGTAAACCTCATGGAGAGAGAGAGATCATGTAAACCTCACGGAGAGAGAGAGATCATGTAAACCTCACGGAGAGAGATCATGTAAACCTCACGGAGAGAGATCATGTAAACCTCACGGAGAGAGAGATCATGTAAACCTCACAGAGAGAGAGATCATGTAAACCTCACAGAGAGAGAGATCATGTAAACCTCACGGAGAGAGAGAGATCATGTAAACCTCACAGAGAGAGAGATCATGTAAACCTCACGGAGAGAGAGAGATCATGTAAACCTCACGGAGAGAGAGAGATCATGTAAACCTCACGGAGAGAGAGATCATGTAAACCTCACGGAGAGAGAGATCATGTAAACCTCACGGAGAGAGAGATCATGTAAACCTCACGGAGAGAGAGAGATCATGTAAACCTCACGGAGAGAGAGAGATCATGTAAACCTCACGGAGAGAGAGAGATCATGTAAACCTCACGGAGAGAGAGATCATGTTGGGAAGGTCGCCGCTCCGAACCCTGCCGCCCCCATAGGGCATGGATCGCCGATGAAGATGAAAGCTAATCTTTGTGTTTTTTTTATTTCGGTAAAGTCACGTTGTGAATAAGAAATAAAAAAATAACAACATAATAGCGTGCGACGTTTCGGTTGCAACACAAGCAGCCATCATCAGGTACAGAAGAGCTAAATTTAGGAGAGAGAGGAAACGCATAACCCCAGATGTATATACAGACACCCAAGTAGGGGCGAACTAACACAGATACAACAGGGGACACAGAGAGAGAATCACACCAAACAAACAGGGTTTAGCAAAATTTGGAAACCATATAAAGCAACACAGACGGTCGGTCAAAACACAATTAACGCATAGCCTGGTTGATCACGCTATTTCAAAGATTGCTCAATTGCAAGTTAAGTATGAAATTTTAGATACAGACGGCGCACACACACACACATAAGACATTCAAGTAGAGGGGACCAGCACAGGTAACAAGCACACAGTGAAGTCGTCCTTAAATAGCTTCGAACCAAGTTTTAAGATGAAAGCTCCTGGCTTTTGAAACATGCGCTTATCGTCAGCGGACGTAATGAATCCACCGGTTTTGGGATGAAGTCGCTAAACGCGAACAATCATCAAAGTGGCCCTTCTTTGCAAGCGTGAGATCGTCGTTGCGAGTCGTCGATATAATTCAAAGGGGTTAGTTATTATATCACGCGAGAGTAAGCACGGGAGGGCTATGGTTTTTTTGCGTACGAAATATATATATTATTCCTGTGCACGTGTTTGCAATCCCGGCGATAACTGACGAGGAACCAATCGATCCCTAAAGCCGAAACGATGTGTGAATTTACACAGCGAAACTTCTTTTTTAAGCGAATAAAAACGTGCTTTTGTTTTGCTAACAAACTGGGAGGCCCCTCGCCTTTTCGGTTGCCAAATAACCACTCGGCGCTGGCATCTTGCGCCCCCCAGCGGTGTCCACCCTAAAATGTACCACGAGGGCGAACTCTTCGCTCTCTCTCTCTGTACGTGAGATCTCAACGTAAATGTCATTGCGATCAAAGTTGTTCATGCCCGGCCACCAGAGTTCAATTCCCGCTCACGGCCTTAAACACCAGCGACGAAAATCTGAACCGGTTCTGGGGGCCTCCCCTAGGTCGACTCAGCCTCAAATGGTGTAGCTGTGTGTTGTAAACATCGTCACTGGGGGAGACAAAGGCGGCTGTGCTTAGTGCAGGCCAACCCCCCCCCCCAACCACCTGGTGCCCTGTGCCGGCATTCGTAAGTGCTCGCTAACAGCACTTGCCCCTACAGTCTGTTCACAAGCTTTTGGGGAATCCTTGCCTTATTGTATTAAATACATACATACAAAATAATCGCATGACCTCTCATCGTAAACGATCAATATCGCACACAAAGCAAACAATATAAATAGCCTAAGCACCCATACTTATGGCTAGTTTGATGCATTCATTCAGCTCTATTGAAATAAACACTATTGGGGGGGTGTTTTTTTTTCTGCTGCGAGAGAGGCCACTGATAAACACTTTAATAAGAAACACAACGCCTGCTTCAGCAGTGTTCTTGCTGTAAGTTGTCTCACCTGATGGCGATTGCTCGTGTCGCGATCGAAACGTGACTTTTACCGAAAGAACCAAAGCGTATAGCCATGTTGCTGTTCAGCGAGTACGCAAACTCTTGGGCATGAGAGCACTCACACATGATGAGGAATGTCACCATCGGCGGGAGGGGGGGGGGTTGGGGGAATAGACTGACCCCGTAAATCACCAGGCAAGCGGCTCGATAGGCGCATAGCAAACACACACTCGCAGGTTTTTGGCTAACGGTGGACTTGCACATGTACCGATACTTAACCCTCAAACAGTGACATAGAGGAGCCTTAGAGAAGACAAGCATATGATGTGCACGTGTGTGCTCCGCGTGCGGGCTGGATAACGGCCCTCTAAACCGGCATGCGGTTCGTGGGGTTCGTTTCACCATAATCCACCAGGATGGTCAAGAGTATCGTCGCAGCAACGGAATTGCTGCACTGTTGTGGATATGCCCTCCAACACACGGGTTGTGCTGTACTAGTAACCAAGGACGTAGCCC